ATCGTCCAACTAATACTGCACTTGAGGTCCGGAAAGAATTTACAAACTATGTAAATAATGAAGGTGCAGTACCTTGGCAAGATGATATTGCCTAAGTGTATATTTTAATTTTAAGTTAGCAGTAAGACAAACCTATAGTGCTATAGTTGTAAATGTGTTCAATGTTTATTGTTATTTTTAATTCCTATGAAACCTTTAAATAATTTTAAGCATATTACCTACACATTTTTACAAACAAACTTCAACAAAATAAAAACTAAGAAATGACTTATTACATTAAATTTTTAAACTAACCTAATTTAATCTTGCGATTGAAATAAAATATTTGTAATTTTTCGCTTAACTTGTGTTACCATATCGGGAGAAATCTGCCGCAGCTCTGAAGCAACAAACCTGCAAATACAAGTTTTAGTATGTACCCTATCACTTGTAATAATATAGATATAAATTTACATTCCAAATGTATCGAAATGATCCAATTTCTCTCCTTGTGTTTTTTCTAAAAAGGATGTAGCCTGTAATAAATCGTTAGCTTTATCTACATTTGAAACTTTACGTCTTTTGACACTTGGAACAGAACTGCAGCCACTTGCTACTGACGTTGAGGGTGACAGTAGCTCAGCTTCTACAGTCTTTAATTCATCGACTGTGCCCTCAAACACTACCTCATTTTCTTCATCACTTGGTATCTGCATGTTACAAAGAAATTATGAAAAAAATGGAATAACTGCACTGAATAATACATACATTAGTAACGTCTTGCAGATTGCTTTCTCCTCGTCGCACGGGGGCAGAATCTTGCAAAAAGTGTAACAGGTCGAAACACCACCAACTGGGTGTATAGACATCATCTGTATTCGACCCACTACACTTTTTTTTCTTCACACTTGTTACCTCTTTGAAAAATTGAGTGCGCAATCCATTAGTTTTCTTTTTTACATCGGTAGATGTAAATTGCGTGTTTCCCAATGCTTCGTTCAATTTCATGGTTAACTCATTCAACATAGACTCCCTCAACGTTTTATTCTTGTAACGGGATGATTGTACATTGTACAAATCGGGATAACTTTCGTATAAAGTAATAAGAATATTGGTTTGGTCCCTTGTAAATCCAGAAGCCATCTACAAGAAAATTGCTTTTCTGCTTATATCCTAAATATTATATTACCATATTTTTGTAAACGGTAACGTACTTTTGAAACTAAAATTAACTGTAAAAGTACAACACCACGGACGCTTTCAATAAAAGTGTGGTTATAATCTACACCCTAAAAAATTAGTAAATGCCGCCGTCTATTGGTATACATGGAATAACAACAAAATTACTAAAATATCACCAGAAAATTGACGAAAATTAGAGCAAGTTCTTAATTCATCAAGGAATCCACCTTGTTGGTTCCATGAAGAAATTGTTCAAAAAATTGATGAATTTATAGTCCTTTACACTTGACAATTTAACCTTGAATTTGTCCATGGGCAAATTCGTGAATTAGTTGATAGATGTAATGTGGGCTCATGAGCTACAGAAATGTATTATTAACATTCATTCCTTGGTGCAACGAATTACGCTTAAGTTGCATTAGTATTATATAGATTATCCAAATTGAAGTTCTTAATTCATACCCAATATATGTATACAAACCGTACCTATTCGCACCTCCGCGAAGGTCTACAATTTGAGCAGATCATTGTTGTTTGTTCGCAGTGATCGTATATTTTAAAACGTAAATTATGTAGTATTTAGTAGGTGTATCTATTTATGAATGTGCAACAAATATTTCTTTTAACTCTGTCATTACATTTACCGCAAGCTAAAAAATTTTATTTACATAGGTTATTATGTTATAACCAACATGCCCTAAAGGTGGACCACATGTGAGACGCTGTTGATAGTTTTCAACACGTTCGTGATAGTACAAGTTGTAATAGGAGCGAATGTGCGCGCCTGTGGAATTTTTTTTCTTAACAAAAGCAATATATGCCATCATTTCCCTACTGGAAGAGGGTTAATCTGATAAGTCCCCGCTTATATACACAATATGATAAACCCAATATCTAAAATGGAAAATATCCCATTTTACATTTCATTTTACGCAGATTATCGTAATTTGCTTCGATAATTTAAGAAGAGAATACAAATACTAAATAACGTACAAAGTTCGCGATAAGATAGTTCAACAAAAATATGCTGCATACGTTATAAAAACCTAATACCGTTCCAGTTTGATTAAATCTCTTTCCCTTGCCCTTGCCCTAAGCCTACCGTTCTTTATAGTTGGAATAAAAGCATTTCCCTGCAAGTTGCGCCGTAACAAAAATTAGCTAGTTAATTTGCAACCTTATTTTAGGGGCAACCTATTACCCCTTGTTACTTCGTAAATGTAATCAACGTTAAGCAAATATATTAAGTTATGTCAAGTAGATTGAAACTTGTAAAAAGTACCGCCCTTGATAATTACTTGGACCAACTTTGCTAAAGAACCCACATCACTAGAGACTATCTGGAAGGATATATGGATTAACGACAGCAATAAATGCATTTTGATTTACCTATATTTGCATAATTGTGAGGGTATCTTTAAAGTAAAGTAAACGCATTATCTGAATCTTCCCTCTTGATTTAAAAAAGAAATACATGTATTTGTATCGTTACAGTGAAGGATACATTAATCACTAAAGGTCTGAATTTGTAGGTAAAATAGAATATGAAATTAGGCAAAAAAAACTTCCCAATCCCAAGAGGCCTAACATACCAATCAATGAAAATAGCTGACGATAAAAACATGCCAGTTTTGAAAAATATGGTATATATAATAATTTATATAAAAAAAAGGTTGTGATACATCAATGTAATCAGGAATGCGAATGAAAAAAATGACGTTGATATATAGGGTGTTGCAGTTAAAAAATACAACATTGGGCCAAATCTCCGATATGGTGGCCCAAACATTTTTTTAACTACGCCACTGGATTCTACGTAAAAATAACTAAAACCGTTTTTACTTTTTTTCTATCTTACATCGGTAGTAAGATATGATAACATTCTAAAAAGTCAAAGTTTTCGTTTTCACCCTGTATCTGAGAAACAAACGCAGCTAGATTGATTATGTTTGTGACGTTAAAAGTTTCACAAAAAAAGTGGCACAGTGTCGCGAAAACCGCAAATCTACATCTTTAAAAACATCTGAGATACACTGCAGTCTCAACCATAATAGGACACACGGTACATTCGGTTCTAACTTTCTTGGGCATTAACATTAATGCAGATTTGGTTATGAAATGTCCATTGTCCACCGTAAGATTCCATGTTTATATCCATTTATATAGCTTATAAATATTCTTCTTGTTGGTATATGGTGAGAAATGTGGTGTACAACAGGGAGAACCTTTGGGCCCATAACTATTTAGTTTATCTATCATGGATTTAACAAATTCTCTAAACTCAGCCCCTAATGTCTTGTATCTTGATGACGGCACGATCGGTGGCAAGTTCTCAACGAGGTTGAAAAAGTCATAGAATTTTCGAGAATTAGCGGGTATGGGTAAATGTGAAATGTACATAAAAACAGACAGCTTAAGGAACTCTGCAACTTCTTCTCTCCAACATTTGATTCTTAGCACCAAACTAATCGACGGAGCTGATGTTGAACTTCTTGGTGCACATGTGTTAAATTCGACCTCTGAATCAGTACTGCTGAAGAATATGGTTGCTTGTAACCTCACATGTACTAGGCAGAGCGTCTTGATAGCCACTCAACGCTCTTTTTTTTGTAGAAAATTTGCTTTAGTGTGGGCCCTAATAGTAGGGGAGTCGGCTCGAAATCCACCGTTTGCCGCCTCAGGTCATATGACTTTAAGGAGGTGTTGTACTTCTTGCGGTATCAATTCTAAATTGTGGTTTTTTGAGAAAATAAGTTACACACCAAATGAAAACGTTGATAATAACTCTGAAAAAAATATTTAAAAAAATCGTGAACATTTGATAACTCTGTAAAAAAAGTTCATGAAAAACCGACTAAGAATTATATTCGATAACTTAAAAACGGTGGCTTTCACGACAAAAGATGTTCTATACAAAGTAAAAAAGGACAAAATTCCTACATTTTTTGTTAAAAAAATGTTGTGTATCACACATGTTAGGAGTCACAGTTCCGTGAAGTTGCACTATTCGGAAAAATGCGGTAAGAAATTTTTTGTACCTAAAATCCAAGATGGAGGCTCTAGCGCATGCGCCTCGAGGTCGAAAACTTGGATTTTTTATTAAGGGCCCAAGCCTAACAACTTACTAAAAAATCGCTACTACCCCACCTTTTGCATTCAAACACCTCTTTTTGATACCTACGTACTGGATTATAATGTATTTTTCTAAACGATTTTCCGTCAAATGAGTCCTCCTATCTGCAGCAGGGCACTTCTTTACGTTCTTACGGAATTTTTTTCCCCTTGACCCCGGGAAACTTTAATGGAGTTTGATTTACTAATTTTGTGCTCTTCGTGAACGGTAGACATGTTCCAATTGCTTCATTAATCCCCATGGAAGAAATTTATTACTTATTATGAATGTTTAATCTAGATATTTTTAATTGTTCATTTGTTTAAATACAATTTTATTTGATAAAAAAAAAATAATAAACAAAACAAATAATTAAATACAATTAATTGAAGCACATTAAACATTTATTATAGAATTTAATGAGCTTTAATCATGTATGGAAGCATTTTTCTTCGCCAGAGTAGTGATTTTTGGGGGTTACCATCAATTTAATTTTAATATACTGTACAAAATGTTAAAATATATTATATGTGTAACAACGTAAAAAAAATTGGTCATCTTTACACTTTGATTGACGTTGAGGTCAAAGTTGCCTACTACTATCTAATATAAACTGGTTTTAAAAATTATGATGCAGTTAATATCATTGTAAACAATTATCTCAAGGGGTTTTGCTAAAGAAGCTCACACACATTACGTAGTTTTGGATAGGCGAAAGCATGTGTGATGTCTCAACCCACGGGTATCATGGAACGCTCCATTTCTTTGATTTCAATTTCAACCGAGGACCAGGTCTTAAAATGCAACTCTTTCTCAGGCACACTTAGTGTGCGCCGCACTTTAGTATCTAGTTTATTGCGTTTAATAGTCAATACTAGAAATAATAAAAAGTGTTCCTATTCTATCCAACTTCCTTGTTATTGCCTTCGCGAAAGTGTATGTTTATGAGACACAATGATTTGGATCTTCATAATTGTTTTACTTTTTGGTGGACATTGCAGGTACTGTATTTTATACCTATACGTGAAAATTGTTCTTTCAGCGAACACCCGAGCAATTGAATATTCAGAAGAGAATTTAAAGGTGTGGTCGTTAGGAATAAACTTTTCTAAATCATTCAAGGCAAAATGTTTCAAGTACATGCAGCATAAGGAATTCGAAAAAACTTTGGTATCACTTTCGTTGGGAGCAATGGAAATTATATGTAGAGTATTTTAGGAACCTTTTGTGGATGTTCCAAGATGTTTTGCGACACAGTACTTAACCCCAAACGGCATTTGTGAAAATTATGAGAAAGAATCGTGTTTAAAAGAGCCTTTATACTCAATTAAAAGGTGTTTGGATTCAGATGAGCATTATTTTCCCGATTTCGTGTTAGATGGTGTAAGGCGAGCGTTGAAAGGCGCGTGTAAGGATGGAGACTTTGTGGGTAAGACGTTGCGTTCAAATTGTACCTACCATTATCATCATTGTTGCTTTTAGAACGATTTAAAAGAATTAGGTGCAACACACCAACGGTGGATTTTCTGTGCTTGACTGTTGTGAAATGCCTTCCACAATTAAAAATTATTGCAAATGTGGATAAAATGTTACTTTTCTTTAACAAACAGGATGTTTGCATGTAAATTTTTCTGCATCTAACCGTAAACGACTAAGCTAGATTTTTAGCGATATCCGGACCTATAGGGATGTTCTAATGGAAACTATGAACGAAAGATGTAATGTGTCAATCGATGATAAAATATGGGTACTTACGATCTTTGAAGATCTTACGGAGGAATGCGAAAACGTACCAGAGCTGGATAATACCATCGACGACTTTTATGCATGAAATGATGCTATTCTGTTTTCCTCGCCTTAGGGTCTATTATAGTGTATATGTGTATGAATGAAAAATGATTGATTATTAAAATATTTAACTTTATTAAAATGTAAAATAATTAATTTTTCCCGAAATCGTCTTAAAACATTCATTTTCATGCCGACTTTAGGTCAGGAATAGTATATTACGCACCGAGTGCGAAAGTAGGTTATTTTTCGAAGAATCGTTAATCACCCGAGGCGCGCAGCGCCGAGGGTGATTATTTTCTGAGAAAAATAACCTTTCGACGAGGTTCGTATACTATTTTATTCACGAGCATCATTATAATCATTTTTTTAACAAAATTCCAATAAAAGTACAAATAAACGCAATTCAAATCATCGTAAGCGCCATCTGCAAATTAATGGCCTTATTAAAAGCATTGCCGATAATACAGATCCGGATATTATAATTAATATTCAAAGCTAGATTCAAAGTTTGAAATGTCTGATAACGAATTTACTTCTACACCCCCTGAAATAAGGGAAATTGCCGATGGGGCTGTAAAAAATTTATTGCCCGAAAAGAGCAAGAAACGTTATGAATACATTTTTGACATTTACAAACAGTGGTGTGCAGAAAAGGCCATAAGCAACATAGGCTCGGAAAACGTTTTACTTGCGTATTTCAACGAATTAGCAAAAGTGAAGAAGCCCTCCACGTTATGGGCGACGTACTCGATGTTGCGGTCAACTTTACACCTAAATGAAAAAGTCGACATCACTAAACATTACAAATTGACCGCTTTTATTAAAAAGCAAAATGTTGGCTACAAGCCTAAAAAATCAGAGGTATTTACAAAAGACCAAATTGAGAAGTTTCTGAAAGAGGCCCCTGTGGAAATGTTACCTTACAAAGTAAAAATACAATTAATTTGTCATAGTGTTGCAATTGTAACGATTCATTACGTACGTAACTTATGAAATCGTAATGAGTAGCTACAAATGCCACACACAGTTTTTTATAAGCAATTTCATTGCTCCATCTTTATCTTTATTCATTTTTAGATTGTACTCATAATCGGCATATCTGGTGCTTGCAGAACAGACGAGTTAGTCAATATGAAAGTTGCTGATGTAGATTTTCTACAAAACCGCGTCAGCGTTATCCTCCCCAACACTAAAACGTATAGTAGTCGATCTTTTGTCGTAACGGATGTAAACTGGGTTATAATATGGCAACAGTATTATAATCTCCGTAAAGAGGTTAATCATGAGAGATTTTTTCTTCAAATGCGTGCTGGCAAAGTGACCAAACAGCCCTTAGGTCATAACACAATCGCCCAAGTTCCTAAAAAAATCGCAATCTTTCTAAACTTGGCAAATAGCGATAAATATACCGGACACTGCTTCCGACGTACGGCTGCTACAATATTGGCAAACGCAGGTGGAGGAGTCCTTCAACTGAAGCAGTTGGGTGGCTGGAGATCGACTGCAGTAGCAGAAGGTTATGTGGATCAGTCGCTTTACGGGCAAGAGAAAATTGCAACAATTTTAGCATCCTCTTCAGCGACGTCTACATCTACATCCGATATGCAGGGCTGTGATGCCATCCCTGGCTCTTCTCGTGGATTGACACCCAATGTTTCTACGGCCAGACAGGAATTTAACTTTTCTACGGAGGAATCTAAAGAGGGGCTAATTGTAACGATTAATAATAGCGGTAACTCTAATGTAACAATTAACTTTATTAATTCAAGTTCGAGTTCATAATCATTTTATATACTTATACTTACCCGTCAGTTATTAAACACTTTTTTTTTGGTTTTGTTCGAATTGAGAGCATGCTGCTGTACATTTATAGGTTATGAAATGAAACAAGAAAAAGAAACACAGATCATACTGACATTAGGTTAGTCACAAGTCAAGTAAACTTGGAAGTAATCTGTGGACTCTGATTGTGTAATTGTGTTGCTTCGTTTCCCATTTTTTAAACTTTTTCGACTGTTGGTTTATTTGTAATTAAAACTTACAAAAAATAACAAAGATAAAAATGTTGTGTTTAAAATGTGGGTTTGTATAATTTGTACCTACATCAATCGCGCCAGCGCCATGCCGCCATCTATTAGGATACTACTAACTAAATCGAGGTAGGTAATGAATATTACTAACCTCGAATCGAATATTACTAACCTCGAGAATCTACTTTCCTCCCTCCTGAAAAAATAAGTGTGTAAAATACAACTTCCTTATCCTTCAAAATGACAATTATGAGACTGATTACAATATGGTCGTGAATAAATTTTATTTTCCGTCAGTGGCACTTTACCAGACCCCTGTCACCACGGACCCATTGATATAAATCAAAAGTTCTATATGAAAATTGCAATTTTATATTAGAAAAGACGATATCGGGAACAATTTAATACAAAACTCGTGAGTAGAATGACACTACTTAACTCGGAAATTAAAGTACTCGATCCCGAACGGACCTCGTACTTCGATGTTTAGTCCATGGGCCAGTCAACATGTCGGTATAATTTGGGTGTACCAATTTTCCTTTTTACGTTGGTTAAACAGATGCATTAGGATGCCAAAAAACCATGATTGCCATCTCAAAGCGGTAGCTAATAGAAATGGCAGTCAATAAAAGATGGCGGATGTTGAGTTTTGTAGAATCAACTATATCTCTGGAAGCTTTTTGCGAGTATGATACTCATAGCAGAAAACCGACGTTTGAATATGCTTGAAGTGTTTAGTCATCCTTTAGGACCTCTACCTTGGAGTATTTCGAACCCAGATGGTTCTATGAAAAAAAAACTATAAAGTCCGTGTTGGATAAACACCTGTGAAGCTTCGTTTCACCTGTAGATGGAAATATATCTTCTGCAGCTATGATAATTGATAGGATGGTACTAATTCAAAAGCTACATAGAGGGAATACAACAGTTGATCAGTTATCTCGGACAATCAAGTCTTAAACACAGCCCGCTGTAGCACTCGCATTGATATTCTCTTTGATACCTACAAAGATAAGTCAATAAAATCTGCGGAACGCCCACAGATTTAGGAATAATTTTTCAAGAATATTAAAGGTAGACATAAAATCAAACAAGTTAAAAAGTAATCGTAAACGATTTACATAAAGCGCATTTCCACTTGCATTCATTTCCCATTTGTAAGATGCAACTTCTGTTAAAATCGTAAAAATCCGCCTACAAATATGAAAGATAGCGTTGCACATGGGCAATCCATTGTTGACGTGCTACTTCAATTTCAGTTTATGAGAAGAATTTCATTTCAATGCTTTTCTAAATAAGAAAGTTAGAACTGCGCATGCGCAAACCTAAATTTTAAAACTAATGTTAGATTTTCCTTTGTTCCAAGCGCCTAAGTATCAAATTTCACTTAAATAGTTCCATAGATAAAAAAGTTGGCACGGCGCATGCGCAAAATAAAATTTTGAAATTGGCGTTTGATTTTCCTTTATCCCAAGTGCCTATGTATCAAATTTCGTTTAAATTCTTCCATAAATAAAAAAGTTGGCACTGCGCATCCGCAAAACCAAATTTTGAAATTGGCGTTTGATTTTCCTTTATCCCAAGTGCCTATGTATCAAATTTCGTTTAAATTCTTCCATAAATAAAAAAGTTGGCACTGCGCATGCACAAAACCAAATTTTGAAATTGGCGTTTGATTTTCCTTTATCCCAAGTGCCTATGTATCAAATTTCGTTTAAATTCTTCCATAAATAAAAGTTGGCACTGCGCATGCGCAAAACCAAATTTTGAAATTGGCGTTTGATTTTCCTTTATCCCAAGTGCCTATGTATCAAATTTCGTTTAAATTTTTCCATAAATAAAAAAGTTGGCACTGCGCATGCGCAAAACCAAATTTTGAAATTGGCGTTTGATTTTCCTTTATTCGAAGTGCCTATGTATCAAATTTCGTTTAAATTCTTCCATAAATAAAAAGTTGGCACTGCGCATGCGCAAAACCAAATTTTGAAATTGGCGTTTGATTTTCCTTTATCCCAAGTGCCTATGTATCAAAATTCGTTTAAATTCTTCCATAAATAAAAAAGTTGGCACTGCGCATGCGCAAAACCAAATTTTGAAATTGGCGTTTGATTTTTCTTTATTCGAAGTGCTTATGTATCAAATTTCGTTTAAATTCTTCCATAAATAAAAAAGTTGGCACTGCGCATGCGCAAAACCAAATTTTGAAATTGGCGTTTGATTTTCTTTTATTCGAAGTGCTTCTGTATCAAATTTCGTTTAAATTCTTCCATAAATAAAAAAGTTGGCACTGCGCATGCGCAAAACCAAATTTTGAAATTGGCGTTTGATTTTCTTTTATCCCAAGTGCCTATGTATCAAATTTCGTTTAAATTCTTCCATAAATAAAAAAGTTGGCACTGCGCATGCGCAAAACCAAATTTTGAAATTGGCGCTTGATTTTCCTTTATTCCAAGTGCCTATGTATCAAATTTCATTCAAATACTTTTATAAGTAAAAAAGTTTGCAATTCGGTTTATAAATGGTCGAGATGCGAAAAGGGCACTGTGATTTTGAATCGATTCGATTCAACTTTTGGCATTGCGTATTATATGGTTAAAGCTATGCCCATATTGAATTTCATGCAATTCAGTTCATAACTAACGGAGATGAAAAAGCGATCGAACATTTCTAAACAAAGTTATCGTTCACACGGACAGATAGATGGACAGACAGACAAAGGAACAGACGGACAGACCAACAGGCAGACGACAGATGGCAATGCAAAATTATAAACGATCTCTAGGATCGTTAATAAATGGCAAAAGTGTAAAATTATGGAACATGTAAAAAACGGTTTTTTTGTTTTTTTTTACAATAACTTTTTTTGTAAGCGGTAAAGAAAAAATTCCTTCCTTGGTACAAGACTCGACACCATAACGAACCAAATAGCGAAAAAAGTAGAACAATAGCTCTTAAGATAAAAAACTAGTAGCGTCGCAAAGTTAGCGGACGGACGGACGGGCGGACGGACAAAGTGGCCACAATAGCGCATTTTTATTTTATTTTTGTGGAAATGCGCTAAAAATGGAGATGTCTTCTACAAAGTGGTGACACTAAAAATAAA